AGTGTGATGTGTTCAGATTTGCTATAAAGCCACCCTGGTAAGAGGGACAGCTATTGCAACAGCTAGGTGGGGCTGTTGTTGTTATGGGCCGTCGAGTCGGACCCAACTCATAGGGACACCTCCTTGGGTTGCCAAGGCAGTATCACCCCGGAAGTAGATTGCCCAACCTTCCTTCTGAGGAGTGGCTGGTGGATGCTGGCAGGGGCTTGAAATAGGGACGTGACCATGAGTGACTACTTGGAGATGTTTGTGAGAAGAGAGTAAGTACTCAGCAGAATGGGGTGTGTATTTGTTTCCTATTGCTGCTGGAAGAAATTGCCAACAACTTGGTGGCTTTCAACAACACAATTTATCACCTGGCAGTTCTAGAGGTCAGAAGATAGGCTACAGCTGTGCTGGTGGGGCTGCACTTTCTGGGGAGACCTGTCTTTTGTTTGTTTTCCTTTTCCAGCTTCAATAAGCCACCACCATGACATGGTCTTGGCTTGTGGTTCCTTCCTGCATTTTCAAGTATCTCTCACTCCAAACCTCCTCCCTTTCACTTTCAAGGCCTCACACAGGTAATACAGGATCATCTTCTCATTTTGAAATCCTTAATCAGTTCTGCAAAGTCCCTTTGGCCATCTAAGGTAACAGATTCACAGGTTCCAGGGTCTTTGGGGGTGGGGGAGCGCTATTCTGCCCCATAGGGTATTATCAGTGAGGTGAACATGGGAGGTGGCCATGAGGGGGAGGGGAAGAGATCAGCTGTGGCTGAGTCACAGGACATCCCCAACTGCTCCCTTGGCTTTCAACATTCACCAAATACCGAGCACCTTACACATGACAGCTGCTGTGTATAAAGGTGACCATCATATGCGACTATCCCACAGCACATCCTTTACACTTCTGAACATCTCTGAAATCAGGATGTAGCTTTTAATCAATAGCATTTTACAACTGTAATTGGCAGGTTTGTTCTCAGTGATCCCTAAGACAATGTGCATCTTAAAAGTGACTGCATCTTGGAGCCAGTGAAATTCAGGTCTAGGCTGGCACTAGAACCAAAAAACCAAACTCACTGCCATCAAGTCACCATAGTGACCTCCATTGGGTTTCCAAGCCTGTAAAATCTTTTTTTTCTTTGCAGTCTATGATTTTTTTTACTGAAGTATTTTATCTGAAGGCATACAAACATTGCTTTTCCCATGTGACTGTAAAATACCAACTCTAATGCCTCCCAATTTCAGAAGGAAGGTTGAGTAATCCACTTCCTTAGTGATACCACCTCGGAAACCCAAGGAGGGGTCGCTGTGAGTCGGATCTGACCCGACGGCAGTGTGGTTTGGTTTTGGTATTGCCTCCCAATAGTCACAAATGACTTTTATAACTATGGAAGTAGATCACCCAATCTTCCTGGTGGGTTTGAACCACCAGCCTTCTGGTTAGCAGTCAAATGCCTTAGGCACTACGCCACCAGAGCTCCTTTTATAACATTAAGTCATCAGTCCAAGACAGCACCCGACTGAGACTTTCTCAGCACTTAAAACCAATACATTATCAACAAATATCAATCTTTAGAACCAAATCCAGAGTAAGTGCAGTTAAACCCAGTCAAGAAATTACAAGGAGCTCACTGGCTAAGCTGTACCAAATGGATACAAAGTAAAACCGCCTTCATACTCCACTTCTACATAAATGACTGCGTGACTCCTGCAATTTCTTCCTGTGTGTGCTCTGTTCACCAGGATAAGCTCCTAGGCTGGAAACCTTTACAGAAGTAGATCTCCCCCTCTTCCCTCCAGAGCAGCTGGGGGCTTTTAATCACTGACCTTCTGGTTAGCAGCCAAATGCCTTATTTACTGTGCCACCAGAGCTCCTAATTATAGCAGGAATTGGAAGACCCACTAGAGCGCAAAGCACCCACCTCATTCTGTCCCTCGTAGTTCGCAGTCTGGCTCCTTCCACCCTGAGGCTTCCACGTGCCCTAGGGTTCTGACGCTCAGACTCCTTATAAGGGATTCCTTCTGTTCACCCTGGCCACACACATGCTCAGCTCTTCCACCACAGCAGGGTCCAAAAACCAGCCCCTCCCTCCAGGTGTAACCTTGTCACAAAAGTCAGGCGCAATGAGCCTCCGGAAACCCCTGGGGGAACTTCTAAAAATCCAGGCAGCCAAGCCACAATCTAAACCACCTCATGCAGAATCTGGGTAAGATTATTTCAAGCTCCCCCGGTAAATCCTGGTGGGGCAGTGGTTAAACACTTGGCTGCTAGCTGAAAGGTTGGTGGTTTGCACACACCAGCCGCTCAAGAGAAAGTAGTAGACTGCTTCCATAGATTCTAAAACCAAACCAAACTCACTGCCATTGAGTGGATTCTGACTCATAGCGACCCCATTGGCTGCCCAAAACTGTAAATCTTTACAGAAGCAGACTGCCCCATCTTTCTTCCATGAAGCAGCTGGTGGGTTCAAACTACTGACCTTTTCATTACAGCCAAGGGCCTTAACCACCAGAGCTCCTTTCATAAAGATTACAGCCTTCAGATCCTGGATGGAGTGGGAGAACAATGTGGAACAAAACTCAAACCCATTAAAAAAATAAGATCAGGTTTATTAGTCTGCTAGAGTCTGGTGAGATCCCTCAAGACCATGGCCCCTAGTTACCCTTCAGGTCTGAAATTGCACTCACTCCCACGGCTTCCAGCCAAACAACAGGCGGGCATATAGGGTGAACATTCACATCAGATACACTCCTTAGAACGATCAATCAGGGGAGAACAGAACAGTGGTATATGCACAGGGAGATAGCTCAGGGAGCAGGAATGCATAGGTAAGGACCCAGAGGAAAGACTACAGAAGTGGGAAGAACTGTTACATTGTGGGGAACTGCAGTCAATGTCATGAAAGAAAGTATGTATCAACTGCTGTATGGAAAATGACTATGCTCTGTTAACTTTCACCCAAATCACAGTAAAAACTCCTAAAAAAAAATAAAATATGTATACATTCTTTGCCAACACCATAAGAAAAACAAAAATTACCGCCTTCAAAATCTTACAGAGCAGTTCTACTCTGTCCTATAGGGTTGCTGTGAGTTTGAATCAACTCAACAGGAATGGGTTTTGAATCCAATGGGAAGCCAAGGTGGAAAAGTGGAGGAATGGAGGAATCAACCTACTGTGATTCAAGTTAGGGGAGGCATAAGTCAGCACTTGAGGTGAGAAGCAACTTAGGTCCAGACCACAGTTATGTTTGTCCTCCCCACCAGATTCTGAATTCCTGTTAGGGGAGCAGTTGAGTCATGGAAATTCCCTCATGAACTACCCCCAAGCCAGACACATTGTGGGAACCCAGAAAATGCAGAGCCTCAAAGGCCAAGCAGAAAAGGTTCAGTGCCAAGAATAGGTGTGGGAGGGGAGCCCACTAATTTGTTGTGACCAGCTCTCGAATGATTCTAGTGAATCACTGCCCCTCTCTGTGCCAATAAGTGGTCTTGAAGGGACCCTTCAAGAACCAACACAGATGTTGCACTTAACCCACGGGCCATAAAGAGTCATAGGAACTACTGCAAGGGATAAACAAACCACCAGACTATGGAAAGTCACTGGCTCTCAGAATCTTAGGGGTCTTGAAAGATCTTGCTTCACTATCTCATTTCTAATTTCTATAGAGCCTGAAACAGCGGGAGTCAGTGACTAAAAGGTTTCTCGGTCACACCCAACAGGGTCCCAAAGTCTTCTAGCTGTCCTAGCCCTTTCAGGCCTACAATCTCCATTGCTGAGATCATAACCCTTCTGGCTACAGGACGGAGAATCTGAGGTCCTAAAGGTTAACAACCCAAGAACAGCAAAGCAGGAAGTCCCAGAGGAAACTGGAGATGGGAGTGTGAGTGAGAGACCTTCAGAGTTCATATGGAGAAGCCACACACAACACTGTCAAACTGGGCTCTGGTCCCTGAGAACATTAAACAAAAAAAGAGTGAGGTGGTTCAAGAGAGCAGAGACAAACTCCCACGGTACAACTTCATGGAAGGAAACACTCAAGGAGGGAGGCAAATGCAAAGAGGTTGTGGAGAAGGTCCAGGCTCCTGGTCCCAGCACAACGAAGGCCCCAATCCACAATCTGTAATAGACTTTTATTGGGAAAGGAAAGTTGATTGAGAAGCAGCCCCCCAATGTCCTCAGTCTCCTGAGACAACTGGGGTCTCCACCAGAGTCCAGGAAAGATGGGGCCTTTAACCGGGCCCTCAGCGAGCTCAGGTGTAGAGGTCAAAGTCAATGCGCTTGGAATTATAGAACTGACCACCAGGAGGGTCCAGCTTCCGGCAATAAACACCATCTGAGAAGTAGCCTTCATTCACCCAGGTCTGCAAGGAGAGAGCAGAGAGCTGGGGGAGAAGCTGGGGAGGTGAGCGGGAGGGAGGGACCAGGCAAAATGAGGAAGAAAGGGCCTTACCTGCATCTGTGCGCTGGTAAACGGCCCATAGAGTTCAGCATCCCCTGTGTTCTCCCACTTATATTCCCACATCACGTCCACTAGACCATCCCCTGGCGACTCTCCTACAATAACAGGCAAAGGCATTTGGGCCTCAGCTGCCCTGCCCAGGACACCCTTCTTCTGCCCTCCAAGCTTACCTCCTCTTTGGGCAGGGGTCACACTCTCCAGCTCCCCCTCCGTCACTTCCTCAGCAAACATGTCCAGAGAGGGTGGGGGTGCAGACTCATGGGATCCCTGGGTCCGGCACCCCAGCCCCTTCAGCCGCATGGCTAACCGCTCCCGAGTCTCTTGGTACACACCAAGGTCGCCCCGGGCCACCATCTGGTCGGCCAACCCTGACAGCCGGTCTAGGCGCTGGGGGGAGCTCGGCCGCCCAGGCCCCTTGCTGTCCCTTTTGCCCCCTCCTCGGGCCCCCAGACGCCTCAATGCCCCAGCAACTGTCTCCCTTGGCAACAGCAGCTCCAGAAGGCCTTCCAACAGGGCTTGGGCACTCATTGGTGTCTGGCCCACGCTGTCCTCCTCTGAGTCTGAGGCCTGGCGCTGATCAGGTGGTCGCTCCCTGATCTTCACCTGTAAACACGAAGACAAAAGAGTTACTCCCTACAAACTGTCAGCAGAGCCCAGTCCCCACACTTTCTTTCCCCAGACCCTGACACGCCAGCCTCTGGGCCACACCCAGTCAATGTTGTCCAGCCAGCTGTCTCGGATCTGAGCATCCCGGTTCAAGAAATAGTTGCCATCAGCATCAAAGTGGCCTTCCTCCATCTCTTCCTGCAGGTTGAAGGGCGTGATCCGCACCCCGCCCTCACTGGGAAGTGTAGCTGCTTCCTGACCTGCACCAAAGACACAGATGCTCTGTGCTAGGCAAGCACAAAGAAGCAGAGGGAAAACAATAGGCAGGAGCCTCCCTTGTCCTCCCACTGCTCTAAAAGTCCCTTTTTGTCCCTCTGACTGTATTAGATCTTGCGTATTACTCACCCTCCACATCCTCTGAAGCCAGGATGTCATATTTGCTGGACCCCTCCTCATCATCATCCTCCTCATCACTGTCCAAAGAGTGTTTACCTTTGAAGCGGCTCCCAGGACCTCCTGCCCCAGCCACAGGGTCTACCAGCTATAAAGAATCAGCAAATAAAGAGACGCAGGTTATTGGCTATTCTTCAAAACACTCCAGGATCTGCAGCCAAACTAAAAACCTTTCAAACCCACTAAACCCATTTCTCATAGAACATGAAAAAGTGAATGCTCTCTTTGTACCAAACTTTCTTTCTTTTCGGGTTTCTAAATTCTATCTTCTGCCTTCACTTGTCTTAGAACACGGGAGTCTGGCCCCCTCACCTTCTTCTTGGGAACGTTCATTTCATTGTCATCATCCTCATCTCCCACTCCCTGGAAGGTCACTTTCCTCTTTGACATGACGGGGAAGACCTGTGCGGAAGGAAAGGGAGAGAAGTAAGGGAACTGGCGCGCGAGGAGGGGACTCATCGCGAGAAGTTTTCTCCTTCCCCGCTGCCCCCGCCCCCGCCCGCCCAAGAAACATTTCTCCAGGTAGGCCCAGGTCAGAAGAGAAGGGAGCACGGAGTCAGGGGCTGAAAGAGCAGCTGGCAGCCAGACAACTCAGCCAGGCAACTCCTTTGGTTCGGCATTCGAGAGAGATGCTGGAATCGGGAGAAAGGGCAGCCACGCAGAGTTCCTCCCCGTGGGTATTCTCATGGGACCACTACCATTTTTCCGGCCCCCGCAGCCCTAGGCGCGGAGGGGCTCCGGGGGTTGATACCTGGCCCCTCAGGTTCCCCATAGCCCGCGGGATCCAGGCAGCCCCACGATCTGGAGCCCTGGCCTGCCTGCTCCTCCTTGCGTCCTAACTCCTAACTGTCCAGAACTACGCATACAAATTAAAGGGGCGGCAGAGCCAGAGAAGACTAGGGATGTCCCACCAGCGCGCGCTCACCTGGGGCTCAAGGGACGCAGGGGAAGAAAAGGAAAGATGCTTTCTCCAGGTCTACATCCGGGCCACCGGCCGCCATTACCCGGAAGAGAACTGAGGAATGCGCCAGGGAGGAACGGAAATGACTTCACTCCAATTCAGAGACGAACTGAAAGAGCGGGCGGAAGTATGCAATGAGAGAGGGACGATCTTTCAGAAGTGACGTAAACCGCCAGGGGCGAAATGACAAAAAGAGAGGACATTTGAACGCGTAGGTTCTGTGTCGGGCAAGAGGTATGGCCGGAAGTGGTGTTGATTCTGACAGCAGTAGAGGCTTTAGGGAGAAAGTGGAGTGCGCTCTACTTAAAGGGGCGCCCAGAGTCAGCATGGAGTGGCAAAGTCCGATCAGAGTCAGTGGATTCGTACCCGTCTTCCTTTTCAAGATACGAGTTATCCTTTCCCCAGGCCTGGCTAAGGACTCTACGCCCCTCACCATCTCGGGAGAAATCATTCCTACTAATTCCCAGTCTCCAGTAGTCTGCTTTCTCCCTTCAGTCTCTGAGACGCGTCCTTGCTCCTCTTCCTCCCGGGAAGGCTATTTGGCTCTTCTAATGGCCCGCCCTGTGGCCCTAACCGCTCTTTGGTCTCTATCAAACACCCAATTCCCTTTAGGACCCAGGGGAAGTCATTTGCCCCAAGCCAAGGTGTCAGAGTACCCAGGCCAGAAGCGCCTAGGGCCCCACATAGGCTCGGAAGAGGCCTGCAGTACCTCTACCGAAGCGCAGCCACAGGATAAACCCATTCCTCATAGAACATGAGAAAGCCAATCCTTTTAGCGAACAAGGTCCAGTCAGGCAGCTCCTGCCCAAGTGTTGGGAGTATGGTCCAAGGGAGTGGGTTTGGGAGTGCTGTGGGGAAAGAGGTCCCTAGCTCTAGTGGGCACTCAGAAGCTTGAACCCAGTTAGGACAAGTCCCTGATGGAGCTAGAGGATATTAGCAGGAGTATCCCCAGGACAACCAGCCAACCTGTCCCTCTCTCCTGCTTCCAGGGTTGAACCATGAAAATGCACCAATATCAGTGCTGTTTCTTCCACGGGCACAGAGCACAGGCCCCAAATCAGTAGGGCATCTTCCTAAAGGGGGCCTGAAGCATCAACTACCAGTAGCACAGGTTCATCCCCCAAGCAAGCCTCTTCTAGAAGAACCAGGCAGACAGCACGGGGTCCTAGGCCTCATCCTGTTGGAGAATTAACAGGTGAAGCCCTGCCTTGGAGCCATGGAATCCTAACCTTTAATGCTCTCATCCCTAGAATGGAGGGCAGAGGGTAGGTGGACCCATAAGCTGGCTACAGAAAACCAGGAGAAGCTGGGACCCAGGCCAGGGTGATCTGGAGACAGCTGGCTGTGCTGCTGCCCCACCTAGAGGCTGCAGTGCCGAGCTGTGTGAGTAGCTGGCTAGAAGCCAGGTCACCGGTTCACCGTCAGAGAACTGTGCTTTCCCACTTACTGTCAAACTGTTCCCCTCAGGATTCCAGGAGCTGCGTGAGTGTTTGGGAAGATCTGGGTGCTTCAGGCAGAGCATAGAGGGCTCCAGGACACGAGTGACAAGGGAGGCAGCAGATCCAAGGCAAAAATGGGGCAGGAGCTTAACCAATGTTAGTTGATGAGTGACTAAGAGGCAGCCCAAAAGCCAACGGGCACCTACCAAGGCCAGCAGACTACTTCAGTTAAGACTCAGGTCCCACTTCTCTTTCCTCCCTCCTGAGCCATTACCCCAAACTCCCTCATCAAAAAACAAGGCAGGAGACAAGCCCAGGTACAACAGCAGGTTCTTTTCCGGTTCCTCAAAGCGCCGCACACACAGGTCGGGGCAGGGACAGAAGAGAATGTAAACATAGGATTCCACCCCTGGACCTCAGGGGAAGACCCCTCTGGTAGGGGCCGGCAGGTTGGAAGGAAGCAAAGTGAAAGGAGGGAGCCCTGGTAAGACAAAGCAGTGGAGGCCTGAGAACACAGGAAGGGGGGTGAGGAGGGACAGCATGAGGATAGTTGGCAGGGACGTGGGGGACATTTCCTGTTCCAGTGCATGTCCCCTTAAATAAACTGGGGTACAAGAGCATCGTAGAACAACAACCAAAAAACAGAAGACAGAGCAAGCATCCCCACCCCAGGCCAGCCAGGTCCTCTGTACATAATTACAACAGAGATGTCCAGAAACAAAGCAAGGAAAGCCCTGGCCCCCAGCCTGGAAACAGGGACAACAGGCAAGACTGAAGGAGGAAAAAGGAACCCAGCTCCACCTCATGGGTAAGGGAAGCCACTGGAGTGTAAGAATCTGAAAACTGCTGACTTGCATCACTAAGAGTCACCTCGTGATGACAAGAGGTCAACCAGGACAGCACCAGGGAGGGGACCCCAGAGGGAGTTGGGGCAGGAGAGCCAGAGACCCTGGCTGGGCCTGTCTGGAAGTAAGGGGCTCCAGATTTGCTCCCGGCTGCCTCAGGGAGATGCAGCCACCCCACACACTGTCGGTCTAGGCTGTGCAGGGTTCAGCAGCTGGCAAGGAGACAGGGTATCAAGCCACTTTCCTCTGAGGAGGATGGCCCACTAAGGGGGGCTGGGGGCAGCAGCCCAGGCCAGGCCTGCTCCTGGCTGAGGGGAAAAGGGGGGCCATGCAGTCCAGCCCCAGGGCAGAGGTCAGAAGTAGGCATCCTGCCGGGCCTCAGATGCCGAGGACCTGTCCCCGCCATCCTGGGGGGCCGAGGGCCCATCTGCCTTTCGACGCAGCGAGGCCTTCCGGCCTTGGGCCTTCTTCTCCTGCCTCTGCCGCTCCTTCTCCTGCCTCTGCCGCTCCTTCTCCTGCTCTTTTTCCCACTTCTGCCGCTCCTTCTCCTGCTTCTCCCGCTCTTTCTCCCGTTTCTGTCGCTCCTTCTCACATTCCTTTTCCTGTTTCTGCCGTTCCTTCTCCAGCTTCCGGGCTTCCTTACTGGAACCCAAGGGGGTGCTGTTGCCAGTAGGTGAGGGAAGGGATGGATGCAGGCCCTCAGCGGTGACCACAGGCCCCGGGGCAGGCCCAGCACTAGCCCTTCGGGCAAGGGGGGGTGAAGAGGGGGCCCCACCAGCTGCACGAGCGCCTCGGCTCTTGAGGCTAGGGAGGCTGAGGAGGCTGGACGAGGGGCCCAGAGGTGGTTGCTGCCGCCGGCGCTCCTCGTGGATGGCCCGGGAACCATGGAGTCGCCGGGAGGGGCGATACTGCAGCTCCCCCCGGGTTTCCCGCCACTTCTTGAGCTGCGCTGCGTTTTCCCGCTCAATCAGTGCCTCTGTCACTGGGAGATTGGTCACCTGGAAGGAGAGGAAATGGGTGGCAAAATGAAGAGGAGGAGCAGGAAAGGGCTGGAGCAGGGGTAGAGTGTGCCGAGGTCAAGGCCTACCTCGTGCACGAGGAAGTCCTCCTGCATGCACTGCTGGGGCAGGTTACGCAGCTGCTCCATGGTCTCATACATGCCTTGGCAGGAGCGCAGCTTCTCCACCGAGCCCAGCGTGTGCCGCAGCAGCACCAGGGCCACTCGGAAGATGATCTTGACGCCTGGGAGGTCAGAGAGAAGAGGGCAGGGACAGGCTCAGGCCCCAGATCTCAGCGTACCCTGTTTAGGAGGGACTCACAGCCCCTGACCTCTCCTACTGCCAACCTTACAGATGAAGAGATTGAAGCCCAAGAAGGTAAATGAGTGGCCACTGGTTTCTGGTGCCTGGGAGGGAGGGAGTACAGCCCTGCATCAGTGGCCAAGATCAAGCCTCAATTCCTCCAGCCCCTAGGCTGTTTACAGTGAAGCTAGGCCCAACAAGTACCTTCTGTCATTGGGCCTCCAGAGATGTGACAGGGCCCTCTGGCAGCCACCATGGAAGCCCCAGGCCGTCACAGCGTAGATGGCCACAGAAGTACCTTCACAGAAGAACATGTCCCAGACACGCAGCACTGAAGCCCAGGGCAGGGTGCGGGCAAAGATGCACATGAACCACTCTGTCATGTAGAGCACGGGGTCAATGCGCTGTCGCCGCAGGTGCCGATGTGCCAGTGGCGAAGCCCGGCGCAACAGGGCAAAGAAGATCTCCCCGTCCAGCTGAATGGCCTCCTGGAGTGGAGACGAGTCATGAGAAGAGGGCTGGGCTGCTTCGGCCCCCAGGGGACAGATCACACCCTGCTAGGGGATCCCCACCCCAGTGAGGAGATGCCCAGAGAGGGACTCAAAGGCCGGGGCAGGAGAAAGGCTTCCCTGTAGCCCTGGGGAAAAGTTACAGTCCTGGGTGTACCCAGCCTCCACTCACCAGCCCTGCGCTGTAGTAGCCAGGGAGATACTTGTCACAGATCTGTACCAGGCACCAAAAGGCTTGCTGGGAAGGACAAGAAGGAGGAAGGGATGGGGCATGAGAAACAGGAAGCAGGGAGCTCCCCATCACCACTGCAGGTCGAGATGTGCCCGGTCCACCCCCACCAGGACCAGGCTGTGCTGACCTCAGCCGGCATGTGCATGAGCAGCACTGCGGCCACCGGAGCCTGGGCCTGGCAGTAGCCCTCATCAGGCCGGTAGATGGTGTAGGCCTTCAAAATGCGATACAGGTCCTGTTGCCTGGAGGGATGGGAAGATGGTGAGGGTGATCACAGGAGCTGGGAACTCTCTGCCCCAAACCAAATCTGCTCCCCACCAGCCCCAGACCAGACCTTTCCTACACCTCAAAAAAAAAAGAAAGAAAGAAAGAAAGAGACCAAACTCGCTACCATCAAGTTGATTCCAACTCATAACGACCCCCACTGGGTTTCCAAGACTATAAATCTTTACAGAAGCCGACTGCCTCATCTTTCTTCCAAGAGCAGCTGGTACGTTCGAACCACTGACCTTTTAGATTAGCAGCCAAATGCCTTAACCACTACACCATCAGAGCTCCCTCTTCCTACACCTAGCTCCAGCTGAATCTCAGAATTTTACAACGTAGGCCCATCCACCTTTCTAGTTGTACCTATCAAGCTATCAAAGTTGTGAGCACACTCGAAGCACTCTAGGCTCCAGCCCTCCAAACCGTGGCTGCACACCCCACACTCCCTCCCCATTCCCTAACACAGGCTGTGCTCTCTCCCCTCCCAGCCTTTGTCCCTGCCTCCCCCTCTCCTTCATCTGCCACTATCCCATAAACCTTCAAGGTCATCTCTAAGCTTTCAACATCCACAGCCTCAACCCTCCTCTAGCTCTGTCTAAATGTCTCATCACCCCAGAGCAGCTCTCCCAGAGCAAGGCCTGCCTTATCCGGCTCACTGGATTTCATCATCCCCCCACCCCCCAGTGTCCAGTGGGCCTGCCTCTTGGTGACGACTTAAAAGCCAGCTATGCCTCAAATCTTCCTCCTGTCTGCACACAAAACAGTATTTCTACCCAGACCTGCTCCTTCTCCTTGAGGGTGCTTTATCACTGTGTCTGGGATCCATCCCACTCAGCCCCCCATCAGAAAACTGAGGGCCATCCTCACTCTTTCCTCACTCCCCATGGTTAATCACCAGGCCCCAGCAAGTCTACATCCTGAATTTCACTCATGTTTCTGTTCCCTCTTCTCTACCTGCACAACCACCTCCCAGCTCAGCCCTTCAGTTCTTGCCCAGACAAAAGTAATGACCTCCCAGATCCTCTCCCAGCCCCTAGTCTCACCACCTACTCTGGAATACTGTATTCGGAACATGGAATTTGCTACTATCCTTCCTAGAATGGCGACTCCCCAAAGTCCATTATTCAAGTGTGATTTTCATTGGTGCTTTATCTGGATACCACCCCTACTATTATTTACCTACTATTTTTGCTCCACTTTGTACTAGCATCCATGAAATGACAAGTTTGATAAACGATGGTTATTTTATCTAATACATATTAAAATAAACGTGTAACTTCCACAAGCTCCCCCGCTGCATCCACCCACCTGCCTACTTCTGTGCCCGCCTGCTTTCCTATTGCTAGGGGTGAACTGTCTGTGATCCCGCTGAAGCTCAGCCCTGCCCCGGTGCACTGGGTCCCCTCCCTTCTCACCTACACAAGGCCATCACTCCAACACCCCTGCCTCTCCTGCCTCATCGACCTTTCCCTCCACCGGGTCATTCCTATCAGCACGCCAATACACTGTCATTTCTTCTATCTTTAAAAGACTCACTGTCTTCAGTTTCTTTCCTCATTCTGCAGTCAGGCTTTCATTCACTATTCCACACAAAACTGTGTGTAGGGAGGTCACCAATAACCTCCAGAGGTCAGTTTCCAGACGTCATTTTCCTTGACCTGTCAGCAGCAGCACTTCACACAGCTGATCCTTGAAACCCTCTTGGCTCTGCTTCCAGGAGTCACACCCTCCTGGTTTGCGTCCAGCCTCTCAGCTGCCCCTTCCAGTCTCCTTTACTGATGCACCCTCATCTTCCCAGCCTCTACATGCTGGCACGCTGCCAGGCTCAGTCCTCAGCCATCGTCCGTTTCTACCTATGCTTGCTGCCCTGGCGATCTGTCCAGTCTATGGGCTGACAGCTCCCAGTTTCCACTCTCTCTCCAATTCAGACCTGTCCTCTGAAACCCAGACTTGCGTGTAGTCTCAATCCAGCTTACCTGACATCTCCAGCTAAATATCCGATAGGCGCTGCAAACTCAACATTCCAAAACTGAGCTCCTGGCACCCCCCACTTCCCACCAGTTTTCCCCATCCATCCTGTCAGTAAATAGCAACTCCATTCTTCTAGCTTCTCAGATCAGAAAGCTGAATAGTCATCATCAACTCCTCTCCCTAACCACCCCCCACACACACACTGTCCAATCCATCAGCAAGTCCATTTGGCTCTATCTTCAAAATACACCCAGAACCCAACCACTGTCCCCCATGCTTCACTGCTATCACCCTGGTCCAGTCTGTCATTTTCAGCTCTCTCCTGGATTATGGAAACAGTCGGCCTGACTCTGCTGCCTTGTCTTCCTATGGTCTATTCTCAACAGAGCAGCCAAAATGATCTTTTTAAAACCTAAGTCCTAAGTCAGATCCAGTCATCCCTCTACCTAAAAGCACTGCAGAGGCTTCCAATCTTCTTCAAGAGTAAAAGTCAATTATTTTCAACAGCCTACAAGGCTCTGTTCAGTTGCCCCCCATTACCTCTTTCTGACCTCGTTTCCTACTACTCCTTCTACCACACACTCCCCGCTTTAGCTACACGGACTTCCTTCTAGTACCGTGACTGCACCAGGTACGTTCTCACCTGAGCCCTTGCTGTGGTCCTGCCTGCCTGGATCATTCTTCCCCCTTACATCTACGTGGCCCACTCCCGTACCTACCTCGGGTCTTTACACAAACGTCACCTTCTAAGGGAAAGCTCCCCTGGGTTCTCCTGACCTAAAGTTGGAACCTCACATTCAATATTCCCCTTTCTTGTTTTACACTCCTCTTTTAACATTTACCACCATTTCACATGTCTTCCTTCTGTACCATGTTTATTATCTATGCCCACTAAAGTATAAGAAGCTCCAGAAAGCAGGGTCTCTTTTTTCTCAAAAGGGCAGGAATGTTTGTCTTTTTGTTCACTGTCATTTGTGATTAGGACAGTACCTGGCATATAGCAAGTACCCAATAAATGTTAGCTGAAATACAAATTTTCTGGTAAGTGTCCATCTGAGAACCACGTAAGATCATCTTGCATACACTAGGGAGTGGTATATGGCCCACATCTTGAGGACACCTGGCCTAGAGAATGAAACGGAAATGCCTCAGCAGAGCATGGGGGCCCCTGGTGATCTGGCTCCACACTCCTTTTTCAGCTTCAGCCCGACTCCACCCCACCACCCAGATATACCTTATATAATCCCCAGCCAGGAAAAACCTGCCCCCTGCTCTAGCTCCATCTTGCCTTCAAAACTCAACCCAAGCGCAAGCTCTTCCATGAGCCTGTGATGTGTCTACACACACACACACACACACACACACGTACACACACCGAGTTAGAGTCTCCCTCCTGAGCATGGTTGCTCCCAGCTCCCCGGACACATACTTCAACACAGCTTGACACTCAATCCATTAAGGATCACTTTCCTAGGAGCCCTAGCGGGCAAGGACTGCATTCAGCCCCATCCTGTAGCCATGTGGCTTCTTCAACAAGTGTCTGCTGCCCAGCCCACGTGGCAAGGCCACCTTACCCATGCCCTCCTCGAGCAGCAAACATCTCATGGAAAGGGAACTGGCGGTGCAGGTCCTTTTCAATCACATCCAGCCACTTGGGGTCCCCAGGAGCCCGTTCCAACTCCTACAGTGGAACAATAGGGGTTTCTCTCAGGAGCTGAGGGAACCGACACCCTGCACACGTACGCTCCACACCCTGGAGCTGCACGTACCTCAAATTTGCCCGGGTTCTGCTCCAAGAGTTCCTTGCTATTGGACAGGTACTGCCAGGCCTTGGCTCTGAGGGAGGAGGGGACCCCCTTCCGGCAGCGCAGCTTCACCTAAGGCAGACAGGCAGGCAGAGGGACAGCCTAAGGGGCTGGCGCAGTCTCCAACTTTCCCAGGAAACCTCAGGCTTCCTGGGAGAGTCCTCCCACATGTCAGAGGGTTGACTCTGATGAACATGGCCAGGCTTTCTATCTTTAAGGCTACTCTTCCCAAGTGAGAAGAGAGCTGTTACATTGTGGGGATTGCAGTCAATGTCATGAAACAAAATGTGTACGACCTGCTATACAGAAAATGAATTTGCTCTGTAAACTTTCACCCAAATCAAAATCAAAATTAGAAATTAAATAAAATAGAGCTACTCCTTCCCTCAAGCCCAGGTACCACCTGCCCCAGCACGGTCCACGGGCGGGATCTTGTCAAGTTCCAAGGCCCTGAGCACCCACCCCTACCATACCTTGTCTATTCCCTGCCCACCACTCCGCCTTTCCAAACCTTCTGGAAACGCCGTGATAACCACTTATCCCAGTTACTGAACATCTCCAGCCACTTGAGCTCCCGTTGCCGAGCGACATCCACAGGAATGGAGCTCTCTCTGTGTGTGGGGGGGGCGGGGGGCACAGAAGAGGTCATTATTAGTACAGAACCTGGACTACTGGGAAAAACGAAGCAAGCCACCTCCCAGGCTCATATGTGAGGCTGGACATAAACACATTCTGTAAGTAACCAAACATCAGGATGTCTGGCCATTTGGTCATCCCAAGGCCTTAGCTCACCAACCTGAAAGGGGGTTCTTCCATGTTTGATAATTATCGGTAACTTCTGTGTTCAAATTCCACTTTTGATACATTCACATTTCGGGAGAGAGTCCAGAATATTTTAAAGCCAGACTTTGCATTAGACTTGGATCCAAGTCCTAGCCTGACCACTTACTCAGTGTGACCTTGGGCCTGGGGCCATTTAATTTCTGAGTCTGTTTCCTCATTCAGAAAATGGAAAGACTAGCAATACCTACCTGGGGAGATCTGATGAGAGGTTATAGGATATAATACGTAGCAAAAACCAAAAAAACAAACTCACTACCATCAAGTCGGATCCGACTCATAGCAACCCCTCGTTGGGTTTCTGAGGCGGTATCACTACAGAAGTAGATTGCCCCATCTTCCTTCCGAGGAATGGTTGGTGGGTTTGAACAGCCAGCCTTCTAGTTAGCAGTCAAATGCGTTAGGTACTACGCCTACAGAGCTCCCTAATACATAGCAGGGGCTCAGTAATAAGAGCAACTGTTATCCATAAAAAAACTGAATATACTTCCCTGTTTCCTTAGATGCAACTATCAGCTTCCTCCTATCAGACTCCTGAAATCCCTCACCTATCGGCAACAACCTCCATCTCCTCCTCCCTGAAATCCCTCCAGATTCCCAGACAAAATGACGCTCTCCCAGCTCCGTTTACCTACTTTTCTATAAGAGCTTCACATTCAAGGTTATCCCATGTCTTGAAATAGTTCCTTGTAGGAAACAGTATAGGTGGTGAGCAAAATGGAAAAAAGAGCTAGGGTTTTACAAACCAGAGACCTGGGTTCAAATCCCAGTTCTGTTGCTTAGGAGTCTTGGCAAGTGTGATAACCCGAGTCCCTTCCTCATCTGTAAAATACAGCCGCCACCGCCACCTACATCACAATGCTGTGAGAGGATGACTGAGAAACTGTATCTGAAGAGCTGTTAAACGGAAACCAAACCCAAAACAAACTGATGGCCGTTGAGTCGATCCCAACTCATAGCGCCCTATAAGACAGAGTAAAACTGCCCCATATGGTTTCCAGGCTGCAAATCTACAGAAGCAGATTGCCACCTCTTTCTTCCTCAGAGTGCTGGTGGGTTCAAACTACCAACCTTTCAGTTGGCAGCTGCGTGCTTCAACCACTGTGCCACTAGGGCTCCTGTTAAATGAAAGGGGTCCATGAAATGCTAGTCTCTTTTGTCCTAAAACCCCCTTAAACGAAGAGACCATCTCCCATTCATTTCTATCATAAGTCAGTTTCCAATTCTAGTAATGGCCAAGCCAAAGCAAACTCACTACCATGGGGTTGATTCTGACTCATAGCAAGCCCCACTGGGTTTTCAAGGCTATAAATCTTTACAGAAGCAGACTACCTCATCTTTCTTCCACAGAGATGCTAGTGGGTTCAAACCACTGACCTTATGGTTAGCAGCCAAATGCCTTAACCACTACACCACCAAAGCGCCTTCTACTAAGGGCAGAGAAGAGTATGATACCTTTGCTGTCCTCAAGAAGGTCACAGCCTAGCAGGGGAGATAGCTGCAATGTGGTATGCAAAATGCAATGACAGACAGACAGAACAGGCACCTAACTGGAGTGGGAGCAGTGGCTATCAGGGAAGGCTTCCTGTAGGAGGAGAAACGCCAACCACTCCAACAGGACCACAGCACCAAGGGTGAGGGAAGGCCAGGGCGGCTAGTGGAGCAGGCTAATAAGGAGCCTTGTATACAGGCCAAAGAGTTTGGACTTTATCCTGTGGGCAGTGAGGAGCTACTCAAAAGCTTTTAAGGTGGTGTGTGCCATGGCCGGCTTGCCTCATAGGTAGATTTCCCCACCAGGGAGGATGGACTTTGGAGAGACAAAGCAGAGAACCAGGAACCAGCATCCAGCCCAGTGCTGGACGTACAAAAGAGGCTTGCTAAAACAGAATTCAATCCAAGTTCCGTATAGTAGTGTGGTACTGGGGAGGGCCATCAGAGTCCCACAGATGTAGGTTCAAATCCCTACACTTTGAGTGGGGCAATTCATTCAACTGCTCTAATCCTGTTTTTTCATCTATAAATGGGGTACAACAATACATCCCCCATCTATGGGCAGGCACTAAGGGCAAACTTCAGTTGCTTTCCCTGTACGGGACAGTGAATACTGCCTCTCAAAGCTGTTGGGTTTTTCGTGGGATTCTAAACCCAACCTAGAATACCTTTCCCCCACGACATCCCCCACACCAGATCCCCCACCCCAACACACACAGCCATGACCAAATCCCACTCATCCTTCAAGATGAGTGAAGATTCAGGTTGAGGTTCAGCTGAATGGCCAGGCTGGGCAAGAAGAGTCCCTTCCCTAAGACCTCACACAACCCTGTCCTGATCTCTAACTTAAATATACCACACTACATAGAAATCAATTGCTTACCTATCAGTCTCTCCCACCAGACAATGAGCTCCTCCACTGAATGTTTTATCCCTAATACCCACCACCACAGGGCCTGGCACTCAGGATGCTGCAGGGAGAACTGACCTACAGGTTAAAGGGGCACAGGAGCAACGGGCAGAATCCAGAGAGAGGGAAGAAAGAAGTCAGAAGGGATTACCCCCCCACACCTCCAGAGTGACTCAGGCCCCTGGAAGGAACTAGGAAAGACTCTGGCCTCCTGGGGAGATGAGGAAATGGGGAAGAGGCCTCCCCTACCCTCTTTCCTTCAGTGAAGACACAAGGCTACCCTTCTCTGCAGAGGGGTGCTGCCTTCAGGGTCTCCCCTCCATCCATCAGACTTCCCTCACTCACCAACCCATCAGACGGAGGACTATGAGGGCTACGCAGCATCCCTTCCGGGCTCCCAAAGTCTGCCCAGCCAGCTCTCCAGAACATCTCAGCCTATAGCTGGAGTTTAACCTCAAGGTGCTGGAATGACCTTAGGGATCACCTCATGCGATCCTTCACTTTATGGAAGAGAAAAATTCATTCCTGAAGCCACTAGCTCAAGAGCACACAGCACTCCAAAGACAAGGCCTAGACTCAAACCCAGGTCCCCTGACTCCCAGCCTGAAACCCTAACATGCCAGTGTCACAAAAACTTGGGATGCTCTGGTTACGCCAGGGACCACCAAGTAGCCCACTCTCACGGATCACCCCCTGGATCCTCAGAGGGGCTGACAGAGTCTGGGCAAGGTGTATGCCTCCCCCTGTCCCCCTGCTACCCTGAGGCAGTCCCATTTGGGTGCCCACCAGGTACTCACAGGCTGCCCGAGTACTGGCTGCCTCCAAGGAAGCCATACTTGTCCGTCTTGCGCAGGGCCAGCCCATTGATCTCTGAGTCTGAACCCATGGAGCTCACATCATCCGCCAAGGACTCCAAGGTCCCAGACATGAGGCTTACAGAGTCCAAGTAGCTCAGAGTGTCCGGAGCCTGTCCTCGCGGCCCGGGGATGCCTGGTCCCAGGCTGGACGTGGAGCCCAGGTCCTGAGAGCTTTCCGCAGGCTCCGGAGCTGGGGTCACGGTCACGACGGCTACCAGAGCCTCACATGTCCCTGGAGGCCCCGTACCAGGTCCTGAGGGGTCCTCACGAGCGGGTCCTGCTGCTGCTGCTGCTGCAGTTCCATGTCCACTTGTCACCTGTCCTGTCACTGCTGCAACCCGTGCGGTCATTCCTGAAGCCACTGTGGTTCCCGGCTTGGGGGCAAGCGGGGGCTTGGCAGTCAGGGCCCCAGGAGCTGTTCTGCAGGGGGTCCTGGTGGGGGTACCTGGTCCAGGGGCGGGCGAAGTTCGGGCCTCCTCTGTCTTCGGAGAATCCGCCCCTGGGGCCACAGCCACTGACTTCTCGGCTCCTGCTACTGCCGCGGGCACCGGGAGCTCTGGGCCAGGGGGAACCTGCGCCGTCGGGGCTGTGGGCGAGGCCTCTAGAGTCAGCACTACCACTGTGCTGCCGGCGACACCTGGGGTCGCAGCCGGGGCCGCATCTGTAGTCTGGTTGGGCCCCGGGACCCAGGCGGGCCGCGCCTCCCCGGGGGCCGCTAGGGTAACCGGGGCCGAGGTGGCCGTAGTCACTGGCGGCCCCGGAGCCACCACCACCACGGGCCCGGCCCGGGAGCCCCGAGGCGGTGGCGAGGGGGCCGCGGGGGCG